AAAAAAAACTTCCTTACCATTTCTGTGAAGTAAGCATAACACTGATATCTAAACTGATAAAGAAAATAGAGGGGAACCTCAGGTGGATCAGGGGTTTAGCGCCACCTTTGGCCTGGGGCATGATCCTGGAGTCCCGGGATTGAGTCCCTTGTCAGGCTCCCAGCATGGAGCCTGCTTCTCCCTCTGCTTGTGTCTGTGCCTCTCTCTCTCTCTCTCTCTCTCTGTGTGTCTCTCATGAATAAATAAATAAAATTTAAAAAAAAAGAAAATAGACAAAAACACACTGATACAAAAATGCCAAAAAGTAAGCAGAATTGAGCACCACATGAAGAAAATAATATGCAATAACTAAGTGCGATTAATTCCTGGAACACAAATTGGTTTAATACTAGGAAAATCATTGATAGAATATGCCACATCATAGAGATCGAAAAAGTTATATGATTATCTCCATATATGTTTAAATGGCCTCTGACAAAATTCAACACGCTTTCCTGATTAAAACACTCTCAAAAATAGGGGATCCCTGGGTGGCTCAGTGGTTTGGCGCCTGCCTTCGGCCCAGGGCGTGATCCTGGAGTCCCAGGATCGAGTCCCACGTCAGTCCCAGGATCGAGTCTCACGTCGGGCTCCCGGCATGGAGCCTGCTTCTCCCTCTGCCTGTGTCTCTGCCTCTCTCTCTATCATAAATAAATAAATAAATCTTTAAACAAACAAACAAACAAACAAACAAAAACCACCCTCAAAAATAGGAATTAAGCCAGTCCTAAAGCCAATGTTTCATTTGGTGGGGAAACACCTTTACTAAGATCAAGAATAAAGCAAGGTTGCCTACTGTCACCGTCATTCTTCAACACCTTACTGGTGGCATGAGCCAAAGCAATTAGACAAGAGAAATCAACTTAAGGCAAAAGAATTGGGAGGAAAAATTGTTTCTGGGTAGAAAAGTCAACACCAGAAACCATAAAGATGTCAGTTGCCTAACTTACCAATTTAACACACTCCTTATAAAAAAATACAAAGTTCTTTGCTGAGATAAACAAGTTAATAATAAAGTGGTTTGTTTGTTTTTTTTTAAGTGAGAACAGTCAGGATATCACTGGACAAGGAAAATCACAAAGCAGGGAACCAGCCCTACCTGACTTTAAAACATAGCATAAGTCTTTAAAATAAAATAGTATGGTCCTGGTAAATGAATAGATAGACCAGTGGAATAGAAAGTCCAGGGAAAATATCAGATACATATGGTCACTTAAATCTCAAATCACTGGGGCAAAGATGGATTTTTTTTTCTTAATAAATGGTTTAGGGACCATTCCACTTAGAGGAAAAAACAAAAAAAAAACAAAATACCAAGTCCATACCTCAAACCAAACAATCCAAATAAATCAGGGATTTAAATGTAAAATGATTAAATCTGGGATTAAATGTAAAAATGATACGCAAGTACTAGAAGGTAACAGGTAAATTCCTTTGTGACCTGGGTGTATGTAAACAGTTTTTAACTAAGACTCATAAATCAGATGCAATAAAAGATTGATAAACTTGACCTCATAAGATTAAGAACCCTTTTGCATAACAAAAACTGCCAACAACAGTCAAAATAATAGCTGTTAAACTGGGAGAAAATATTTGTAACACATATCACAGATGAAGATCTAGTATCTTGGGACGGCTGGGTGGCTCAGCGGTTGAGTATCTGCCTTCAGCCCAGGGAGTGATCCTGGAGTCCTGGGACAGAGTCCTGCATTGGACTCCCTGCATGGACCCTGCTTCTCCCTCTGCCTGTTTCTCTGCCTCTCTCTCTGTGCCTCTCATGAATAAATGAAATATTAAAAAAAAGAGAGAGAGAGAGAAAGATCTAATAAAGAACTTTTGAAAAATGGAGGAGGAAAAGAACTTTTCTCTTAGGAAAATAAACAGAAAATTCACACAAAAAAAATTTAAGGGACTTTAAACATACAAAAAGATATGCTATGGCCCCATTTCACACCATTCTCCCTCTCATTCACTACGTTCCATGAACATTCCAAACCCTCTGCAGAAACTTCACATCTGTTTACTTTCTTATGCTCTCTCCAACTCTTTTTTTAAAATATTTTTTAAAGATTTTCTTTATTTAGGGATGCCTGGGCGGCTCAGCGGTTGAGGATCCGCCTTTGGTTCAGGACGTGATCCTGTAGGCCCAGAATCGAGTCCCACATTGGGCTCCCTGCATGGAGCCTGCTTCTCCCTCTGCCTGCGTCTCTGCCTCTCTCTCTCTCTCTCTCTCTCTCTCTCTGTGTGTGTGTGTGTGTCTCATGAATAAATAAATAAAATCTTTTTAAATAAATAAACAAACACTGGTCTGGAAGAAGAGATGCCTTTCTATTCAAGAAAGATACCTCTGTCTGTGCTTCAGAACCCATGCTTTTCCATCCCCTCATAGATTCTACTGTCCTCACTGCCTATTTCTTTACTCTCTCCTTAAATCCTAATAGTTAATTTTTTCAACAAAGCACATCTTTTTTTTTTTTTTAGTTCCAATAAAACTTTATTTATAAAAACAGGCAGTGGGCCTGGTTTGGCCAAGGGGCTATAGTTTGCTAATTCCTGGCTTTTTTTTTTTAATTATAAATTAATTTTTATTGGTGTTCAATTTACCAACATACAGAATAACACCCAGTGCTCATCCCGTCAAGTGTCCCCCTCCGTGCCCGTCACCCATTCACCCCCACCCCCCGCCCTCCTCCCCTTCCACCACCCCTAGTTCATTTCCCAGAGTTAGAAGTCTTTATGTTCTGTGTCCCTTTCTGATATCTCCCACACATTTCTTCTCCCTTCCCTTATATTCCCCTTCACTATTATTCATTCAACAAAGCACATCTGATCCATATTATCCCCCTGCTTAAAACCAGCTTTTCCTGTCTTCTGTAGCCCTGGTTCTTTGAATATCCTTGAATTTAAATGTGTTTTAAGCACCACCTGCAAACTATTCGTATCCCGAAATGTATTCCAAGAAGATGTGAAACAAAAAAAAAAAAAGAAACAAAAAAATAAAAATAAAAAAATAAATAAAAAATAAATAAAAAATAAAAAATAAATAAATAAAAAGAAGATGTGAAACATACCTGAGAGTTATGTTTGCTTCCAAGTTTAAAAAAACTGTATTTTGAACAGAAATGCTAAACATGTTTATATAGCTGTTACTACCGTAGGATAATCTGATTTCAAGAAACCATGTGCCATAAAATGCCAAGAAATTGTAAGAAGACTACCTGTTACCTAAATATATAATGTTCCACCTGTGTACTGATGCATAGGCAGCATTTATTAAAGAGGAATATCCATTCTGTGATCAATGGTCTACACTGTGTATCTTATAGCTATTATAATAATTTTAATAACACACACTTGTATTTTTCTAACTTTGTTGTATAATGAACATCTATAGTACATAAACTCATTCCTCTGGATCCGTGTCTGAAAAGAATTCATTTATGAGGTCATTATAAATTAAACCCAAGTGCACATTTCATTTCTTAAGCTCTTTTTTTGTTGTTGTTCTATCAAAACATTAAAATATCCTATGGTCAAATAATTTGGGAAACCAAACTTGCGTCAACAACGTACCTCGCATATGGGTGCACTACTCTTTTTTGAATATATGTAGTTGCTGTTGTGCCTATAAGCAAATTAAAAACACTGCCGCCTGGTGGCTGTCATTACAGATCTTTCCAGTCAGTAGAGAGTAAAAAGTCCGTTATTCTTTTGTGATAAAAAGGAATTCTCGTGCTCGAAAAAATACTGGAAATTACCATTCTACAAAATAAAGTCCATATTCCACAAAGTGATGTAAAACAAACATCTCCTGTGGCCTAAACCTCCAAACACTTCCCTCTTTCACCACTTTGCAATTTCTCCTACCATTATGGCTAAATCCTAATACGCTCTCAATTGATCATAACAATGAATCAAGAGTATTCTAAGTTTCTGGAAGTAGGAGGGTACTGTCGAGATCAAGTAATTCAACTCCCTGATTTTACAGAGGGCATCTTCCTTTTGTGCACCATTTGTTCCTGATACCTTTATCTCTACTATTCTTTTAATAGCTGAAGACCAACAGAGAACGTACAAATTCCCTAATGTCGCCTTCTAACACTTTGAAAAAGCGAGTTTCCATCTGGTTACCCTTTTCCACTTCCTCCGTGCTCTGGCTATACCATCATACCGTGAACTTAAAAGAGTTTCACATATTTTGAACATAAATCAATCTTTCCAATTAAGAACAGGAGGCCGGGGGATCCCCGGGTGGCTCAGCGGTTTGGCGCCTGCCTTTGGCCCAGGGCGCGATCCTGGAGTCCCGGTATCGAGTCCGGCATCGGGCTCCCTGCATGGAGCCTGTTCCTCCCTCTGCCTGTGTCTCTGTCTCTGTCTCTCTCTCTCTGTGTCTATCATGAATGAATGAATCTTAAAAAAAAAAAAAAAAAGGAGGCCAATTACTTTGCAGACGTGACACGGATTTGTTCCCGTATGATGACCCCAGGAAGTGAAAACAAAGGTGACTCGACTTTCTGAAGTTTAGCCCTTTAACATCAGAAATGAAATCCTGATGGTGGTGATGAAGGCATCACTTATGTCAATGACGACAGCAGCTGTGACACCTCCTGCCTCGCAGCTTTAAGCACTTGACATCATTATCTCTCTCAGATCTTCAAACGACGCTAAAAAGGAGACTGTCCCAACTGTCACTTAAATTACTGCCCGAGGGGATCCCTGGAGGGCCCAGCGGTTGAGCACCTGCCTTTGACCCAGGGCGTGACGCCGGAGACCCACCCACCCCCGATCGAATCCCGCGTCGGGCTGGCTGCATGGAGCCTGCTTCTCCCTCCCTGTGTGTGTCTCTCATGAATAAATAAATAAAATCTTAAAAAAAATAATTACTGTCTGACAAGTTAAATGACTGTCAAGGTCCCACAAGTGAGCGCCACCTTCCAGTTTAGGGCGGGGCCCCCGCTCACGTTCAGCAGCCGGTGCCCGGCGCCCTCCTCCTTGGCCGGGTGCGTGGCCCTGCTACCCCTGCGGCCCTCTGCTGTGCAGGACGTCGGGGATGCAGTAGGGATTCCTCTGAAGTGCGGGGGCTGTGGACTGGGGACGGCCCCGCCCTTCGCGGTCGTCGGGGGCGTGGGAACCGCGGGCCGGCGCTCGGGGAAGCTCCATCCCTCCATCCTCCGCCGGCCGGTCTGCGCCCAACCGCCGGCCCCCACTGCGCAGGCGCGGCCCGCCGCCGCCGCCCGCCGCCGCCGCCCGCCGCCGCCGCCCCGCCCAGGTCTCAGCGCGTGCGCACTGCGGCCCGCGCTTCCCCAGCCCGAGCTGTCCCGAGGGCCGGCTGCAAGCGCTTCCCCAAGCCCCTTCCCTCTCAGGGGATTCGGAGCGTGCTGGTGGACGGCAAGGCCCTTCCGCGCTGTGAACGCCGTAGTTCACCTTCTTGTCTGCTCCCTTAAACCATCATAAGCCTCCTTTCCCTAAACCAACCCCTTCTGGAAGATTGACACTATCCCCTGAGCTCCAGACATTATGCTTCCCAGAACCCACTGTCCCATACATACACTCATAACACATTCATAGCACGTTAATATTCATCTTCCCTCCCAGACCTCTGGTATATTCCAAACCTTATTTTTTTTTTAAGATTTTATTATTCATGAAAGAAACAAAGAGAGGCAGAGCCACACAGAGGGAGAAGCAGGCTCCATGCAGGGAGCCTGATGTGGGACTGGATTCCGCGTCTCCAGGATCAGGCCCTGGGCCAAAGGCAGGCGCTAAACCGCTGAGCCACCCGGGCTACCCTCCAAGCTCATTTAATATGGTAATATCACAGCCACCAGAGCTTAGAACTTCAGACATATTTTTAAATTCTAATCCTAAATATTTGAACCCTACTCTTTCTCTTCAGGGCACCTAGTTCAGGACACTTCACATACACAATTGCAATGGTTTACTCCTGGATCTTCAGCATGCTGTCATTCCCCCCTTTCTATTGCCCCAATAATAATACAGCTTACCTTTAAAACCAAGCAAAACCAAAAATATATATATATAAATAAAAACAAAACCAGAAACTTTCAGAGTATCTTTGTTAGCCATAAATTTATATTCCTTAGCTTGGAAACCAAGGGCATCCAAAACACATTCTACCTCAGGATCACTATTTATTGCTATTCTACTTGGGATCTATTTTTCTTTTATTCAAGGGCCAGCTCAAACCTCAGCTTTCAATTAAATATCATAACCCTATACACATACCTTCAAAGCAGAATTAATGTTGCCGCTGAGCTACAACTTGGCATTTTGCTATTAGCTCATGCTATCAGAATTAGTTAATTTCAAAAGCTAGTTCTTTAGGGGCAGGAATCTGATCCTCACCTTGTTCCCAGGGCTCATGGCACAAGAGCCAAAAGCCCTTGATACATGTTTGTTGTCATCAGGGTCTGTGCTGTGTGGTGTTTACCGTGCCAATGAGACCTGCTGCCCATCAGCTCACACCGACTTCCTTAGGGCTCATCTGATGCAACATAAAAAAATATCTAACCTAAATCTAGTCAAACTTCTAGACCTAACCTCCAGTCTACAAGAAATTCAGGAGATAGAGAACAAATTGAATGATGCCATTAGGGAAAAAAAAATCAAACAAATACAAAATGTAGGTGGGATATTCAAAAACAAAATGGTTTGGATTCTTTTTTAAAATGTGAAAAGGAAATATAGAAAGTTACAGCCACTTAGAAGACAGTTTGGCAATTTCTTAAAATATTAAACATGTAACTACTGTACAACCTAGCAATTGCACTCCTGGGCAGTATCCCAGAGAAATAAAAAACATATATTCACACAAAAACCTGCATACAAATGTTCACAGCAGCTTAATTCATAACAGCCAAAAAATGGAATCAATTCAGATATTCTTCAAAGACGAAATGGTTAAACAAACTGCAGCAGGTACCTACCTTGGAATACAACTGAACAATGAGAAGAGAGGAGCACATAACTTGGATGACTCTCCCAGGCAGAAAAAAACTAATCCCAAAAGATGACATTCTTGAAATGACAAAATTATGGAAATTTGGAAGACAGCTTTGACAGCCAGAGGTTTTAGTTAGAGGTGCAGAGATGAAGAGGTGGTGGGAGATATAAAAGGGGAGCAATGGGAGATTCCTGTGGTTTGGGGAACTGTTCAGTATCTTGACTGTGGTGGTAGATACACAAAGCTACATAACTGGTAAAACTATATAGAAATTAACACACACATACACAAGTACAAGTAAAACTAGGGAAATTTGAATAAGGTAAGTGAGCTTTATCAATGTCAATATTCTGGAGCTTTTGTAAAATGTTATTCAGGGACACTGGCAAAGTGTACAAAGGATTTCTCTGCGTTATTTCTCAAGTATGCATGAATCTACATTTATCTCAGGAAATTTTTCAGGTAAAAATTAGTTAACTGAAGTTAAATAATAGTGAGAAGCTAAATAAAGGTGAGAAGACCATTTAAAGTGGAGATAAGGGCAGCCATGGTGGCACAGCGGTTTAGCACCGCCTTCAGCCCAGGGTGTGATTCTGGAGACCCAGGATCAAGTCCCACATCAGGCTCCCTGCGTGGAGCCTGCTTCTCCCTCTGCCTGTGTCTCTGCCTCTCATTCTCTCCCTCCCTCTCTCTCTCTCTCTGTCTCTCATGAATAAATATAAAATCAAATCTTTTTTAAAAAAAAAAAGAGAGAGGGAGAGAGAGATGGGATAGGGAAGGGCAGAGAGAGAGAGAGAGAGAGAGAGAGAGAACGAGAATATCAAGTAGGCTCCTTCCCCCAGCATGGAGCCAGCCCAACACGGAGCTTAAACCCACAACCCCAAGATCATGACCTAAGCCAAAATCAAGAGCTGGACACTCAACCAACTGAGCCACCTAGCCACCCCTGTTCTTGGTAAATCTTTTGAAAGTAAGTTGCTATCATGTCACTGCACTAGTCAACATGCATCCTCCAAAAATAAGAACATTAGTTTACATAGCACAGTATCATTAAATAGTGTATCCTCAAGTGTCCCCAGTTCTCTCAAGGTATAGTCAAGGTTTGCACATTTCATAGTAGGGCAGCTCTATTTTTAACTCTTTAAGGAACCTCCACACAGTTTTCCAGAGTGGCTGCACCAGTTCACATTCCCACCAACAGTGCAAGGGGGTTCCCTTTCTCCACATCCTCTCCAATCTTTGTTGTTTCCTGTCCTGTTAATTTTCCCCATTCTCACTGGTGTGAGGTGGGATCTCATTGTGGTTTTGATTTGTATTTCCCTGATGGCAAGTGATGCGGAGCATTTTCTCATGTGCTTGTTGGCCATGTCTATATCTTCCTTGGTGAAATTTCTGTTCATGTCTTTTGCACATTTCATGATTGGATTGTTTGTTTCTTTGCTGTTGAGTTTAATAAGTTCTTTATAGATATTGGATACTAGCCCTTTATCTGATATGACATTTGCAAATATCTTCTCCCATTCTGTAGGTTGTCTTTTAAGTTTTGTTGACTGTTTCTTTGCTGTGTAGAAGCTTTTTATCTTAAGTCCCAATAATTCAGTTTTGCTTTTGTTTCCCTTGCCTTCACACATGAATCTTGCAAGAAGTTGCTGTGGCCAAGTTCAAAAAGGGTGTTGCCTGTGTCTTCCTCTAGGATTTTAACGGATTCTTGTCTCACATTTAGATCTTTCATCCATTTTGAGTTTATCTTTATGTATGGTGTAAGAGAGTGGTCTAGTTTCATTCTTCTGCATGTGGCTGTCCAATTTTCCCAGCATCATTTATTGAAGAGACTGTCTTTTCCAGTGGATAGTCTTTCCTGCTTTGTCAAATATTAGTTGACCATAGAGTTGAGGACCCATTTCTGGGTTCTTTGTTCTGTTCCATTGATCTATGCCTCTGTTTTTGCGCCAGTACCACACTGTCTTGATGACCACAGCTTGGTAGTACAACCTGAAATCTGGTATTGTGATGCCCCCAGCTATGGTTTTCTTTTTTAATATTCCTCTGGCTATTCGGGGCATTTTCTGATTCCACACAGATCTTAAGATTATTTGTTCCAACTCTCTGAAGAAAGTCCATGGTATTTTGATAGGGATTGCATTAAATGTGTAAATTGCCCTGGGTAGCATTGACATTTTCACAATATTAATTCTTTCAATCCATGAGCATAGAATATTTTTCCATCTCTTTGTCTTCTTCAATTTCTTTCAGAAGTGTTCTGTAGTTTTTAGGGTATACATCTGTTACTTTGGTTAGGTTTATTCTTAGGTATCTTATGCTTTTGGGTGCAGTTGTAAATGGGATTGACTCCTTAATTTCTCCCTCTTCAGTCTCATTGTTAGTGTATAGAAATGCCACTGATTTCAGGGCATTGATTTTGTATCCTCCCACACTGCCGAATTGCTGTATGAATTCTAGCAATCTTGGGGTGGAGTCTTTTGGGTTTTTATGTACAGTATCATGTCATCTGCAAAGAGGGAGAGTCTGACTTCTTTGCCAATTTGAATGCCTTTTCTTTCTGTTGCCAGATTGCTGAGGCTAGGACATCTAGTACTATGTTGAATAGCAGTGGTGACAGTGGACATCCCTGTCGTGTTCCTGATCTTAGGGGAAAGGCTCCCAGTGTTTCCCCATTGAGAATGATATTTGCTGTGGGCTTTCTGTAGATGGCTTTTAAGATGCTGAGGAATGTTCCCTCTATCCCTACACTCTGAAGAGTTTTGATCAGGAATGGATCTGTATTTTGTCAAATGCTTTCTCTGCATCTATTGAGAGGATAATATGGTTCTTGTTTTTTCTCTTGTTGATATGATCTATCACGTTGATTGCTTTACAAGTGTTGAACCAGCCTTGCATCCCAGGGATAAATCCCACTTTATCATGGTGAATAATCTTCTTAATGTACTGTTGGATCCTTTGGCTAGTATCTTGTTGAGAATTTTTGCATCTGTGTTCATCAGGGTTATTGGTCTATAATTCTCTTTCTTGGTGCGGTCTTTGTCTGGCTTTGGAATTAAGGTGATGCTGGCCTCATAGAATGAGTTTGGAAGTATTCCATCTCCTTCTATCTTTCATAACAGCATTAGTAGAATAGGTATTGTTTCTTCTTTAAATGTTTGATAGAATTCCCCTGGGAAGCCATCTGGCCCTGGACTTCTGTGTCTTGGGAGGTTTTTGATGACCACTTCAATTTCCTCCCTGGTTATTGGCCTATTCAGGTTTTCTATTTCTTCCTGTTCCAGTTTTGGTAATTTGTGGTTTTCCAGAAATGCGTCCATTTCTTCTAGATTGCCTAATTTATTGGCATATAGCTGCTCATAAGTTTTTAAAAACGTTTGTATTTCCTTGGTATTGATCGTGGTCTCTCCTTTTTCATTCGTGATTTTATTAATTTGAGTCTTTTCTCTTTTGTTTTTAATAAGGCTGGCTAATGGTTTATCTATCTTATTAATTTTTTCAAAGAAACGACTCCTGGTTTCGTTGATCTGTTCCACAGTTCTTCTGGTCTCTATTTCATTGAGTTATGCTCGAATCTTTATTAATTCTCCTCTTCTGCTGGGTGTAGGTTTTGTTTGCTGTTCTTTCTCCAGTTCCTTTAGGTGCAAGGTTAGCTTTTGTATTTGAGTTATTTCCAATTTTTTGAGGGATGCTTGTATTGCGATGTATTTCCCTCTCAGGACTGCTTTTGCTGTATCCCAAAGATTTTGAACGGTTGTATCTTCATTCTCATTCATTTCCATGAATCTTTTTAATTGTTCTCTAATTTCCTGGTTGACCCTTTCATCTTTTAGCAGGATGGTCTTTAACCTCCACGTGTTTGAGTTTCTTCCAAATTTCTTCTTGTGATTTAGTTCTAGTTTCAAAGCATTATGGTCTGAAAATATGCAGGGGACAATCCCAATCTTTTGGTATCGGTTAAGACCTGATTTGTGACCCAGTATGTGGTCTATTCTGGAGAAAGTTCCATGTGCACTTGAGAAGAATGTGTATTCAGTTGTGTTCAGATGTAAAGTTCTGTAAATATCTGTGAAATCCATCTAGTCCAATGTATCATTTATAGTTCTTGTTTCTTTGGAGATGTTTTGCTTAGAAGATCTGTCATTTGCAGAAAGCACCGTGTTGAAGTCTCCCAGTATAAGTGTATTATTATCTAAGTCTGTCTTGACTTTGGTTATTAATTGATTTACTTGGCAGCTTCCACATGAGGGGCATAAATATTCATGATTATTAGGTCCTCTTGTTGGATAGAACCTTTAAGTATGATATAGTGTCCTCTTCATCTCTTACTACAGTCTTTGGGGTAAACTTTAATTTATCTGATATGAGGACTGCTTACCCCTTTCTTTTGAGGACCATTTGAATGGTAAATGGTTCTCCAACCTTTCATTTTCAGGCTGTAGGTGTCCTTAGGTCTAAAATGAGTCTCTTGGGATCCCTGGGTGGCTCAGCAGTTTGGCGCCTACCTTTGGCCCAGGGCGTGATCCTGGAGTCCCAGGATTGAGTCCTGCGTCGGGCTCCCGGCATGGAGCCTGCTTCTCCCTCCTCCTGTGTCTCTGCCTCTCTCCCTCTCTCTGTGTCTATCATGAATAAATTAATAAATAAATCTTAAAAAAAAGGAAAATTAAAAAAATAAAATGAGTCTCTTGTAGACAGCAAATAGATGGGTCTTGCTTTTTTATCCATTCTGAAACCCTGCGCTTTTTGATGGGATCATTAAGCCCACTCACGTTCAGAGTTACTATTGAAAGATATGGATTTAGTATCATCATAATACCTATTCAGTCCCTGTTTTTGTGGATTGTTTCTTTGGGCTTCCTCTTTCTTTTACAGAGTCCCCCTTAATATTTCTTGCAGAGCTGGTTTGGTGGTCACATATTCTTTCAGTTTCTGCCTATCTTGGAATCTCTTTATGTCTCTTTCTATTCTGAATGAGAGCCTTTCTGGATAGAGTATTCTCGGCTGCATGTTCTTCTTATTTAGGACCCTGAATATATCCTGCCAGCCCTTTCTGGCCTGCCAGGTCTCTGTGGAGAGGTCTGCTGTTAACCTCACACTTCTCCCCATATAAGTTAGGGATCTCTTGTCTCTTGCTGCTTTAAGGATCTTCTCTTTATCTTAGGAATATGCAAGTTTCACTATTAAATGTCGGGGTGTTGGAACAGTTTTTATTGATTTTAGGGGAGTGTCTATCTCCTTGATCTGAATGCCTGTTTCCCTCCCCAAGTTAGGAAAATTCTCAGCTATGATTTGTTCAAATACACTTTCTGGTCCTCTGTCCCTTTCAGCGCCCTCTGGAACCCCAATTAAATGTAGATTTTTTCTGAGGCTGTCATTTATTTCCTTTAACCTTTCCTCATGATCTTTTGTTTTTCTTTTTCCTCAGCTTCCTTCCTTGCCATCAACTTGTCTTCTATGTCCCTCACTTGTTTTTCTACCTCATTAACCCTCGTTGTTAGGACCTCCAGTTTGGATTGAATCTCATTTAATCGATTTTTAATTTTGGCTTGATTAGATATAAATTCTGCAGTCATGAAGTCTCTTGAATCCTTTATGCTTTTTTCCAGAGCCACCAGTAGCTTTATAATTGTGCTTCTGAATTGGCTTTCTGACATCGAATTGTAATCCAAATTCTGTAACTCTGCGGCAGAGAGTACTGTTTCTGATTCTTTCTTTTGTGGTGAGTTCTTCTTTCTAGTCATTTTGCTCAGTGCAGAGTGGCTAAAAACAAGTTGAACTGAAAAAGGGAAGAAAAAAAGCAAAAACAAACAACGACAACAACAACAAAAAAAAAAAAACAAAAAATGAAAACAAACAAAAAACCAGGGGTTACCCTTTGGTTAACTATACTATAAATACTATATTGTAAATCCCTCTACTTCTCCTGGACCTTTCCAGCGCTGCTCGGTCAAGAACTTGCTCTTCCCCTGTCCTTCCAGTGGGTCTTCTGGGGGAGGGGCCTGCTGTGCTCTCAGGTGTGTGCACCTGGGGAAGCTATGCCCCCCTACCTTCCTCAGTGGGAGCTGTTGACCCCATGAGGCCCCTGTTCCATGGCGGCCCGGCTCCGTCCCAGACCCACGATGACACCAGAAGAAACACCACCACTGGCGGCGGTCCAAGCCCTGAAGTCAGCTCCCCCAGTAACTGCCGCAGCTCCCAGTCCGCAGGGGCCTGGATGCTCCGGGTACAGGGGGTGCTGCTCTGCACAGCTTGGGGGCGCCCGGCAGCGGCAGCGTCCCCACTGTCCTGTGTCCTCCCCGCCTCCGCCGGTCCCGGGGGAGCGCAGGATCCTGGGCTGTGTCCCCCGGTGCCCTGGGCTCCGGGGCCTGTGCTTCTGGAATTGAGCTCCGGGGGGCGCAGCCCCTTCCTCGCCGAGCTGCCGCCTGAGCTGCTCCCGAGGCCCCGCGGGCCCGCGCTCCAGCCCTTTAGAGAGCTGGGCCTGCGGGTGTGGCACACTCTCCCCCGGGCGCACCTCCTCTGTTAGTGACCGCAGGAACCTGGGGGCTCCACTGCCCCTCCTGGGATCCTGCTCGAGTTTCCTGAAAGCACCTTTCCATCCAGGAAGATTGTTAAAGTTCCTGCTTCTCTGGGGCTGGGCTTTCCTGTCCTGGAGGCTCTTGCTGCCCCCCTTAGCCTGGCTCCTCGCAGGGTCCCCTCCCCCACTGGATTCTTTTTAATTTTCCATCTTCCTACTTTGTTAGAAGCACGAACTCTTCTCTCTGTAGCGTTTCAGCTGTTCTCTCTTTAAATCTCGGGCCAAATTCATAGGTTTTCAGGATGATTTTAAAGTTATCTAGGTAAGCTGGTGGACAGGGGATTTGGGGACCCTACTCTTCCACCTTTTTGCCCCGCCCCTCCAGTTCTCTACATATTTTGGATATTAACATCTTACCAAATATATCAAATATTTGCAAATATCTTTTCTCATTCAGTAAGCTGCCTTTCATTTTGTTGATGGTTTCCTTTGCTATGCAAAAGCTTTTTATTTTGGTATAGTCCCAATATGAAACTTTTCAAACAGAAAAGGTACATTTTATTTTTATTAGTCATGAAGTAAATCATCTTTCAAGTTAAATTACATTATACTTCTTACATGATACATAACCACAACCACCAAGCCAGTTTGAAAAAAGACAAATTTCATATTTTAATTTATTCAGTAAGGAGAATTAAAAATAAAGGCCTTTTGTCCCTTTCTTTCCTATTCCCTACTTTTTATGGTTAAACCTGATACATATTTTGTAACACTAAGTAATGGCTTTTTCTATAATACAGCTTTTTACAATAATGATTATAAATGCAACTCATTTGAGAGAACAGGAAATAAACACTTTCACCTGCTGGTTTCTAGCTCATTACCTCCTTTGTCTTTAAGATGACAATACTAGACAGATTAACATTTGGGTATGAATTGCAGATACAAGTTTTAACATTTTTCATAATCTTGAGAAAATTTTCAGTACCATACAATCAAAAAATCAATTTCAGGGGATCCCTGGGTGGCGCAGCGGTTTGGCGCCTGCCTTTGGCCCAGGGCGCGATCCTGGAGACCCGGGATCGAATCCCACGTCGGGCTCCTGGTGCATGGAGCCTGCTTCTCCCTCTGCCTGTGTCTCTGCCTCTCTCTCTCTCTCTGTGACTATCATAAATAAATAAAAATTTAAAAAAAAAATCAATTTCAAATACACCTGTACATGAAAATGCATTTAAAAACAAGAATAGGAAAAATACTAGGCCAGTACTACACTGAAGATGAGCTGGCATTATGAAGACACTTTGAGTCCTTTAGCTTGGTCAGGATATCCTTCCACATCTGAGCAGAACATCAACTCTGAGAAAGAAAATGAACAGATCATACTCAGACTGGTTTCCAGGTACTCCAAAAAGAATTTTATGGCTTAGTTTTAAAGACTCACTCAACATACTGACAATTTTAATATATTTAATACAAAGTCTTCACATACAAATAACAATTCTTGATAATGAAATCTGATTTAAAAGGTGACTGACAAATGTACAAGTTTTGCATTTTAAAATGTTCAAGTTTTAAATGTATTGCAAACCACTGAAAAATAAGACATATGTAATGGAGACACTACAGTAACTCTCACACCAGAAAATGTAGGTCAGACAACCCAGGATCATTAAACAGCTGAAAGGTCTAATTCTATGGTAACTGTCGTAATCCTCAATGGAGCCACAGATGAAGAGCAAGCTCTCAGAACTAACCTGATCTTAAATGTGTTATACCATTTAGTCACCTAACAACCCAATAAACAAAGTTCTCATCTTCATTTTATATTTACTCTTTTTATCCACGTAGAAATAAAATGTTATATGACCCTAAGAGACAGTTACATGGCCCTGAGAGAGAGAAAGATTCTGAAATATTAAGTAATACAAGCTTTGTGATTTAGGCTGAATATTGCACAAGCCAGCTGGATCCAGCTTCAATCCCAAACACAGTGTAGAATATTAGTTGACATTTCTACATTTAAACTATTACTTAGCATAGATGTGTAATTTGTCAAAATACCAATAAATGTAGAAAAAGAAGACCTTGGGAATTTAATAAAGTCCTCTGATATAAATATCAGATGAAAAATTCCTAGAATGACTAAAAACTATGCTGAGTGGAAACAAAAAAACAGCAAAACATGTAGAGCCTAAGACAACTTTTAAAAATACTTTAAAAATATACCAAAGGAATAAAGCAACAGAATATTCTTCAATTCTCATGTGAAGGAACATGAGGATTACGATGCAAAAGGGTACATTCATGAATAAAATTGCACCAGATTACAACTTTTGTCTTAGTTTTTACAAATGGAAATACTGGGGTGATTCTCAAGTCTAAGACTTCCGGGATTGTCATTAGTCATCAAATTGCACTGAAAGGCTCAGGATATTTATCCAATCAAGAATAAAATCATAACCAAAGTCTAGAAAATATCAAAGAGATTCAAGGGTGAAAGTGTGGAATGTCTGCCAAGAAATATGTTACACTACAAATCCTAGCAGTTCTAAAGCAGTGTGCTCAAGGACTGCTAATATGATTCCTCTTCTCCAGGTGTTCCAAAAGGAGTCTGGTCTAGGGACTAGAGATTAGTAAATCTCACTTTACACTGGGCACTCTAGAGCTAGGATTACTAAACCCTTTATTAGACAATGAAGGGTGAAGAATATGTGCCAGGTAAAGGAGGAAATAAGAATGAATATGTGTCTGACAAATACTACATAGATGAAGCATGATTTATTTCAAATTAAGAGCTACTTTGATCAGAAAGAGATTAGGAGAAATGAAGAGCAAAGACTCTATAAAATACTTGAAGAATTCAGAAAATAAATACCTCTTAAACATAAATATGCACACGGGCCATAGGAGACTTTCTATAGGTACTTTGAGGCCCCAGCTTTCCTAGACACTGTCTCTGCTTCTCTTGGCATTGTTTCACCACTTTATTGTCACTCCTATTATTTTAAATGCATCTTATGGTATCAGAATTTCATAAGCTATATCCATTAAAAGATTTATAAAATCAACAAATTTCATGATATTCTTATACCATTTTTTCTTTATTCTTTATTTTTTTTTAAAGTTTTGGGAGAAAGAGACAGTGTGCACATATGCACACAAGGTAGGGGTAAGGAAGTGCAGAGAGACAAGCAGATCCCTACTTACTGAGCTCAGGCTGATCCCACAACTCCAAGATCATGACTGGACCACTAAGATTATGACCCAAGCTGAAATCAAAAGTTCAACGGACTGAGCCACCCAAGAACCCCACCTATTTTTTTCTTTCATACCTTCACTAAGATCCATGCCTGGCCTATAAGATAAAAAAAGCCAAGATAGTCCAACCAGAAGGGCCACCACGAGATTCACCACAATCCAGGGCTGAAGAATCTGTTCCTCAACACCTGCTGCCCTAAAGGTATAGAAATACTTATTAGAAATATCTCCATTGGTTTCATATATCCAAATATATCTATTTAGTGAACTTTAAAAAAATAGCAGTCCTCACCTAGAGAAATAACAACAAGCATGAAATATATACAATACACACACACACACACACACACACACACACACACACACACACCCATGGGAACAAAGGTTCAGTTACTGAACTCAAATCTGCTTTATACATTGATATAAATGAAAATTTAGTATTGCCAAGCAATTTTTTAAGTTTCCCTTTCTAACTACTATGATGCTACTCATGCCCCAGACACTCTCAAAAAAGACTGCCCCTGTGAGTTTTGTGAATTGGACACTCAACCTGCCTGTGAGCTTCATGACTAGCCATTGATCTGTGGAGAATGGCTCTCTCTAAACTGCTCTCTTTCTAGCACTGCTTGGTTATCTGACTCCATCCCAGCACTACTTTGGGGTATTAGACCTCCTAATGGACTGAGGGTACAGGGCTTCTCTAATTCAATGTATATGAATGACCTTAAAATCGTAAATTACTAGATCTAAGACAGATTTATAAAAAGAATACATTTCATTAAAAATGCAAGTATAAAAAACAATAATTATCCACTAACCAATGCAATTGAGTACTTTTTCTTGCCATAATTTTGGAAACAAAAACAGGGCCTTCATTATTATTTATAGATGAAAACATATAAAAGAGTGAAGGATAAGAGTAGTACCCTTACTACCACTGCTGCTGTTATTCCCATCAATTGCCAATGCTATTGTGCATCTTACCAGAGGCTACCATTAACAGAGGAGGGTGTGTAAAGGTGGATCCTGTCACTTGTCATTTGCTGACTCAGAGACAACACAAGAGCAGTAAAGTACACTAAGAAAAAGACAAATGAAATTACTAAAAATGTATTTTTAACAACTCAGTTTATTTTGAATTTATAGATTACTGTAAGGTCAAAAATAACCTATACTTTGAGGGATAATGACAGAAAAGAAATTCATTTGATCAATTTCCATAGGCTGGCTAGCCTTATTTTATTTTTAAAGAACCTAGGCTCAGAAGGGTATTTTGAGATGCTCACTATTTCATCATTAGAAATTACAAGAACCTAGAAGATCTTTTAAGAAATTATAAACGACTTACTCAAGGTCTTAAAACTAGTTTTATTAATAGTCTCATGACTTAGAACAAAATGTATCCCAAATTATCAAAAAGATACAAAATAGTATCCGTTACTGAAATGCTATGCCAGCTCAATCTGTTTGAAATCAAGTAGAAAACAAAAAACCAAAACATGTCGAAATATAGAATAAATTCAACTTTTAACAGTTATTTAGATCAACTCTATTGAAAAATAATCCTATTAAAACTATACCTATCTTTTTTTATTACAAATTCCACTAAACATCTATAAGTAATGTCTATAAGTAGTAATATAAAATCTTTCTAAAAGTAAATTTAAACTTTTCCTGGTTCAAAATTACAGTGTAATTCAAGTATTATACAATTATCAAATGAAAATATTTACTCACAGAAAGAGGCTAAAGCTGTTGGATCCAGGGCAAGAAAATTTCGGATTGCTACTGATGTTTTAGCAAAATCAATTCTAGAAAATACAAAAGCTTCTGGTCACAGTGCACTGGTAAACTTCTTACAAAACTGCACTTTCTTAATTACAGTTCTTTCATTCTCTATTCTAATGCTACCACGTACATTGTCTATTTTTAAGCTTTAAGTAGCTACAGTTAACACTAGATACACATGAAAAAATATCTTATTTACAAAAGCCACATAAAACATTCAACTAGATTAATATTTAGTCAACATTCCTTTGGAGTTAAGACACTGAAGAAACAAATTAAACTTGATCTGCCAAATTTCTTTAGATTCTACCCCTATTACCCATTTCATCAGGCTGTAAGTTGCTGTTTTTCTTAATGGGTTCAATTGTGTTCTGAAAGACCTGGTGAACTTCTAACCCCTGGCACCTGTGGACATGACCTTATTTGGAAAGAGGGTCTTTACAGCTGTTTTCAAGTTAAGATGAGGTCATTTAAAGGGCCCCTAATTCAGTACAACTGGTGGCCTTATAAGAAGAGAAGAGATCACGGGGAAAATCACCATATGGCAGAAAGGCAGAGGTTGCAGTGATGCATCTACAAGCCAAAGAACTCCAAGGAATGCCAGTAGCCACTGAAAACTAAGGAAAGGTGTGGAAGAGACTTTCCCACCAGCCACCAGCCCTCCAGAAAGGAACCAACCTGGCCAACACCTTCATTTCCAGACTGAGAAAGAATAAATTCCTGTTGCTTTAAGCCACCTGGTCTGTAGTACAGTTGACCCTTGAGCTACAAAGGTTTGAACTGCGTAGGTCCATCAATATAAGATTTATTTCAGTAACTATAATACAGTACCACAAATGTATTTTCTCTTATGACTTTCTTAATAACTTGTTTTTTCTAGTTTATTTTTTTTGTCTATTTTTTATAGTTTTTTTAGATTTATTTTAGAGAGAGCACATGCATGCACACTCAACAACTGAGGGGGGTGGAGAGGGAGAAAGAATCCTCAAGTTGATTCCCCATTGAGCATGGAGTCTTAGGGCTTGATCCCATGACCCTGAGATCATGACCCAAGCTGAAATCAAGAGCCAGCCGCTCAACCAACTGAGCCACCCAGGCACCCCCTAGCTTACCTTTTTAGTATATAATACTAAATATATAATACATATACAAAACTTGTGGTAATGGGCTATCTGTTATCAGTAAGGCTTCTCGTCAACAGTAGGCTAGAAGTTCTGAGGGAATAAAAAATTATACATGAATTTTTGCCTTGCAGGAGGTCGGCACACCCAAACCCTGTGATGTTCAAGGGTCAACTGTACTTTTATTATAGCAACCCTAGGAAACTCATACAATACCCAAATCACCTATACCTGATTCAGATGACTTAGAAGATGATATTTGGGGCTGTATTTGTCGATTATATTTGGATGAAATTTTAGACCTAGAGTTGATGCTGGAATGGGTTTAGGTTTTGAGGATGCTTTCACTGAGAGTATTCCCATCCCCTCCCCCAAAACAGAAACAGCCTTTAAAATAAAAGCCAAAATAATATTAATATATTATAATTCTAGTTTGAAAACTATCATAGTCAGGGACATATTTTGCTCAACATTTCCACCTGAAGAAAAGTGAGAGGGATGTATAGTCATAATAGTCTTACCTGTCAAAAGTTGAAATAGTACTTAGAGCTAAAAGCAAGTAGAGAAGACTCTGGAATGGATATGCCAAAGACTTGTACTGCTGCAGAAGGTTTGAGAAGTCAGAAAGCTGATCTCCTGCTAGCACATATATGAAAACAATGTTCCACACGGCACAGCCAGCCAAGAAGCCATGAGAAAAGAGACCAATCATCCTGAATGGAAAAGGGTTTAATTATTACACACGTATTACTAAAGTAAAAAGCTAAAATAGTTTTTAAATCTCTTCACGTGAAAGAGTAAAACTCACCATTTCAAAAAAGTAAAAACAAGCCTTTTCTTTTTATTACAAATAGGCAGATGATTTAACTCCAATTAAATGGAGTTTTAAAAAATATACCTATTGACTATTTTAAGTTGTCAATTTTGTTAACAATGTTGAGCAATCAATACTTTTAAAAAAAATCATGCAACATTTAAGAAAAGTCCCGCAGAAGCAGCCACCTGAAAGCCCGGTTCACTGAGAGTGCAACATCTCTGGTTGTCCAGGAAAGCTTCATGTCCATTGACACCTCGATATTTTCTGTGGTCTTTATCAACTCTGAACGATCAGCAGCCTGGAATCGCCCTAAGTACACATTACACAATTATTAACAACTAGCGACAAAGAACCCTGGTTGTCTTTTTATCTTATTTCACACTGTTTGAACCCTGGGACTGAGATTTTGCTTTTTTCCTATCTAAAAATTCTCCCTGACCCAGTCCTTGTTTGAGAAGGCTCTTTTCTTTTGGTTGCTTAAATACACTATCTTTTTTTCTTTAGAGAAAATAAAGCCCGTGTGCTTTCCTCTCATCCCAAAACAGATGTTAAAGTAACAGTTTTAGAAATCAATTATATTTCATGAAATACAATAAGGAACTTCTCACTCAGGACAAAGTCTAAAAACCTTTAATGTGACATAATCTACAAAATTCTAATTTTGAGACTTTAGAAGTTTATTAAAGTTTAAATGACAACACTATAAAGCTAAGTCAATGTTTGAAAGCACTTTGAATTTCTTAGGAAAAGATGCCAGTGTGTGCAGCATGGCCTTCGGTGATGACAGAGAAGAAAGGGGTTATTTCATAAACTTTAGGATTCCTGTGACAAGTATCAGTTCAAGTGTCAGCACCTCAACACCATGTGCACAGTGCTTTATCCTTTTACTGTTCACGAGGCTCCTTCTTGCAGATCTACCAATCTACAAATGGATCTCAGGAAGCAGGAAGGGTCCCATTTCAATTACATTTGCCAAATTGGGCTGTCAAGTATTTTGGAGGATGAAAGGCTGAGGTGCAATACCTAATTTTCCCTAAGAAAAGACAACTCTGGGCAGACGAGTGTCTTTTATGGTCAATTACTCTAGTGGGGAAGTTTCTGTGCTAAGGAAAACAAGAGTAAAAATGAGGATTGAATACACTGTTTTAAAAACAGATTAAAAAATCGGTATTGCTTAAAAATGAGGATTCAGTGATATCGCTTAAAAACAGAAATTAAATAGCAACACAGTATACTAATAAAAGCACTTGACTAGAAGCCATGAAATCTCCATTCAAGTCTCAATTCCTCACCAATCGTTAGACCCTGATGAAGTTAGGTTCCCGGGATCACAAGTTTCTCACTGGCCAAGAACATCAAGATCCCTTAGATGACATCTTACAGAATAGAAATTCTAAAATGGATGTACATAAAATCTAAATTGTAAATTTTTAGAACTAATGTTATGGTTCATTTAAGTTCTTTACATGCATACTCACAGCATATCCATGGGATATATATGATCACAATCATGCTTTCTGTATGTTTTTCTTAAATACTGTAAATGCAGTTTTGTAATCTATGCACATTATACAATGTCAAGACTACTTTCCAAAAGAATCTGAAGCTACAAGGTTGTATTTCTTATTTAATATGGTAATACCATCATGTATCTTCTCTCATTTATTTTTAATTATAAAATATATCATTAGCTGCCCCACAACCAATGCCACTCGCCACTACCCATTCTGGAAAACTGGTAAAGTACAAGAATAAAGGAATGGGTGAAGGAAGTGGGGGGAAATTTTCTAAAGAACTCATAGTCCCGTAACCCAAAAAGAATCAGCATTAATATTTTGGCATATTTCCTTCTAGTCTTTTGTCTTCTACATTTCTCTATAGTTAGGTGTGTATCTATTTTTCATTAAATCTTTCCATGAAATGAATATTCTCCCTAAACATTATTTTTAATGGTGCAGATTTTATTATATAGATACACCATAACTAACTGAAATCATACCCCTTCTATTTTATACTTATGTTGTTTCCAATTTTTCATTCTCAAGAATAACATAATAATTAGTTTTGTGTATAAACTTTTGTCCATATTTTTATTGCCCTAATTCAGATCTCCAGAAATTTGATTCCTAAGTCAAAGGTATAGCCTTGTGTAAATACTAAAATCTTAAGTTCCAAAACAAGGAACTACTTACGGGTTTTTTCCACAAACACTTTGCCTACAGGCTGGCTAATGCCAGTGGGTGCAGTGAATATAGACTGTTGTTCTGGACCACTTTGCTCATCAGTAATTATGTCCTCATCTTCTACTCCTAGTTCATTGGTATATTGTAATTCTGCTGGCTGGGTTTTCCTGTACTCAGGAAGAATGTAAGAAAAACAGATTAGTATTATATTTTTACAGACCCACATAAAGGAGGTACCTATAAAAGAGCCTTGGACTTGGAGTTGAGAAATTTCATTTTTACTTAACTGGGTCTGCTCTTAACTGTTAATATGCAGCAAATCACATACATTTCTGTGGGCCTCAGTTTTCTCATCTGGAAAATGAAGTGACTGAACTACATCTGTAAGGTTCTTTCCACACTTAAAGCGATAGGATTCTATATAAATATTGATCACTATTTGTAGGGTCATTTCCAAATACAAACAATAGCGACATATAACTTCCAGTGTACTTCTTTAAAGTATACTATTTTATCCAAGACTTAATTTCTTATACTAAAATATGTATTTTTATTTATTGCTGAAATAATCATAATCTGAATTCTATCAACATGAGAAAATACATCACAATAGTCTACTTTATTAATATTACCTTCAAATTTCAGTATCTTTAGTATTTACTTTTTGCTACTTATATAATATCTTCTATGGATGTTCCTCTTTTTTAGAGACAGCTCCTAAGATCTTTTTTTTTTTTAAGCTCCTAAGATCTTTAATTTTAGCATTTTACTTCTTCAATTGTTTACTCTTTTCAAATTTATCATTAGTTGGTTTAAATGATATTTTTGTAATCCTACTTGAGTGTTTAATAAGACTTAATCAAAAGGTACCTTTGAAAGCTCTGAATTAAGTAGCACAGTGTCCCTAAAGAATATTTAGAAGGACAAATAAAATCTTACTTTGTCTTTCTTCGAGGTTTTTGAATAACTGCCTCCTCAGCTGGCTCCACATCAATGCCATTTTCATTCCGTAATAAAGATGAGCCAGATGTTTTCTTTTGGGTTAAAGAAGTCTCCAATTCTGAAAATAGAGATTAAATTTTCAAATTACTATAATGTAAAAAGAAAAGTAATACTTAAAACTTATGAGATTACTTTAAAATTTTTAATCAGGCCAAAATTTTTTCATCATTTTACTAATTTTTAATTTTTATAATTTTATATCCTTCAACACTAAAATATTTGAAATTACAATGCCAAAAAATATGGAAAAATTCAAGTAATCCAACATCCAGAGTTTTGTGGGAGCCCACAGATTACCTGTGTTTCAGTGATTCACCCAAAGGACTCATGGGACTCAGAAGTCATTACACTCACAAGTCCTTATATTCAGTTACAACTTATTAGACTGAAATGACATAAAGCAAAATCAGCAAAAGGAAAAAACACACAGAGCAAAGTCCAGAGGAAACTAGGTATAAGCTTCCAAGTTCTTCTATCAATGGAGTCACACAGGATGCACTAACTCCTCCAGCAACAAACTACCAAGGAAGCTCATTACAAACTTGGCACCCAAGGCTTTTATTGGCACCTGATCACATAGACAACCCCTGCCTAGCACATACCAAAATTCCAGATTCCCAGAAACAAAGCAGGTGTTCAGCATAAATCATATTACATTCACAATTGCGGAGTAAACCACCCTTATAACTTAGGGGAAGTTCCATTATCAGCGTAGGGAACTACTCACCAGCTAAGTTGCAGAGGCCAGTGAAGAGGCTACCTTGCAATCAGGCCTAATGAGAGCAGTCCCAGGCCTGCTATGTTAACTCCCTCCCGAGCACAGGGTATTAAGTTTAAGTAAGTCAACAAAGCCTTCTCATCTGCTAGCTACTCTTCCAATCTGAAAATCCGGACAACAGCTTCCTGGAATATCCTCAAAGCCCCTAGAATTCTATTTTAATAAAATGTTTATAGCCCAAACTAGAAATGCAATAGAAGTAGAGTCAGTCTATTGTACTCATCCAGAACAAAACAAAAAATAAAACAAAACTAAAAATTCAGAAATCCAGAAGGCTGTACATGCACAGGTGGGTGCATTCTGGAATGGCAGTGACAGGTACTCTCTGGCCCAGAACTTAGTTGGGTTCTGAATTTTCTAAAAATGGTCAACTCATTTCTGTAAATACATTTTTCGTAAGTTGTAAAACTAGGTACTGGTATCCATCCAGATTTTCAAATTCATACCCTAATTGAATTAACTAAGATGGTAGTTTTAATTCAACTATATTTGCTGCCAGTAATGAAACAGATCATACAAAGATATCATCAAACTATCTGAGCATCATTTCTGTTTTTCCACTCTTCTGCCCACATACTGCAGTATCCCACTTCAACTTGCCTCTAAAAACTATAGACTTTTCCAGTTTCTGCCCTCTTTTCCTGTAATTCTTTCACCCAATCAGGACCCACTGTTTTCTAAGAGAATAAGTAATGGTCAGGGAAATTATTTTGTAATAAATTATTTATCAAATAATTATTTGTAAATAATTATTTATCAGTGATCAATGTTACTAGGAAAGAACGATCTCCCAATCTTTATTCCTTCCCTTTATTTTACTCTAACAAAACCCATTATCTTTCTTCTAATTACTATAAAAGTCATAATGCTCAATATAAGAAAAATTAGTAAAATATAAATGAAGAAAGACAATAAAAATTATCGTTAAATCCTCCTTCCCAAAAACCTAACACTGTCAACACTTTGCTATATCTTTCCATTGTTTTTACTTTATGTATGCATGAATATACATGTGTTCTGGGTAGAACTGTGTCCCTACCTAAAAGATATGTTCAACTCCTAACCCCTAGTACCTCTGAATGAAACTTTATTTGGAAATTTGCAGCTAGTCAATTTAGAATAAGATTATGCTCGATTAGGATGGGACTGAAATCCAATGATTCATTATAAGAAGAGCAAAATATGGAGGCGCGTGGGTGGCACAGTCAGTTAAGCATCTGACTCTTGGTTTCGGCTCGGGTTGTGACCTCTGTGTCAATAGATCGAGCCCTGCATCCATCTCTATGCTCAGGACAAAGTCTGAGACTTCATCTTAAGACTCTCTCTCTTTCTCCCTCTGCCCCTCCCCACTGCCTGCACATTCTCTAAAATAAAGAAATAAATCTTTAAAAAAGAAAGAGCAAAAAATGGACACAGAAACACATGGAAAGGTATGAGGACAAAGGTACAAAATAGTTATACTGCCACAGCCAAAGAACACCAAGGATTGCCAACTACCAGAAGCTAAAAGATGGATGGATTCTTTCCTAGAGCCTTCAGAAGCAGCCTGGTCCTGTGGACACCTTGATTTCAGACTTCTGTCCTTCTAAACTGTCAGAGAATAAATATCTGTTGTTTTAAGTTACTCTATGATAATTTGTTATGCCAGCTTTGGGAAATACAGCATATTTCACAAAAAACAGGATATTTTAAAACAAAAATAAAATCCTTTGATATATTCTATTATATGTGTGGGTGATGACTCAACAGTACATTACTGATGGTTTTCCTTGTCACTATTTCACCTTCATAGTCCTTTTAACTGGTGCTCAGTTTCTAATAAATAGATAAAACATGATTTATTTAGCCAGTATCATTTTGTTAGCTATTGATTATTATCAGTTGCTACTCTTATAAATAATGTTGCAGTTAACATCCTTAATTATGGTAGCTATTGTAGTCACTTCTATTCCTAAAAGTTCAGACAGGCTATACTAATTTATGCTCCTATCAGCAGTATATGAATGTATTCCTTTCTCATCAACACTTTTTTATCTAACACTTTTTAATTTTATATTCTGAAAAAAGCATTGCCAAATTGATAGTATTTTGTTTACCTTGTGAGTAGTGCCTGGGACAAAGTAAGACTCAATAAATGATAACTGTTCTTTTATTGTATTACTGTCAATACTGAATCTATCCTTTCCTCACTGACCTGAAATGTCTATTTTATCATATACTAAATTCTTATACACACCAAGATCTGAACTTTCTGTTTTGATCCTGAGTTTGTATCCCTTCCCTCATAATATATGGACATACGACCAAAAGAGACCCTCTAAAGTGTTCTTGACTTAAACTATTAGAGTTACTTTAATAGTAAAAACTTTAATAAAAAAAAAAAAGAAGAGATATGGGTGGGGAAAAATGGGAACAGATTTGAACCAAATCAAAGCTACTATCACAACCTAACCTTGGTTTCTTCACATACCAAGAGGTAGCCTTGTCTTCTTCTGTCTCCTTTGAACAGGAGCTTCTTCTGGGTGCTCTGTGGATTCTTTACTTGGTGGCTCACTGCCCTCAGATGGCCCGTGAACGGAAGCCTGAACAAAGCCTTCCAAAGAAGCACTACCTACAGAAAAGCAGAGTGGGAAAAAACAGGATAACCTGAGCAGAGATTACGGAGTTTTAAAAAGATGAAAAAAAAAAGGGACTTGAATAGCTCCTAAGTGATGATTAACTGTCCTTTGTTTCATCTTTGCCTTTAAGAATTGCCTATAAGAATTGGCTTTAACCCACATTTTTATCACATTATCACATTATAAAGTATAATAAATTCAGTACTTGATATATCAGATTAATACTCAAAGTTTTTTACTATATCACTATATATGGATCCAGATATTTTCATATCTTAAGACTTGTAAGAGGCAACAATTAGAATGAAGGACCAGTTAGAGCTGACTGAGGTTTCAAGCCTGTGTGACCAGGAGAGTTGGGGATTCCATTAACAGAAATCTGTAAGAGGTAAAAATCGGATTTATTGTTGAAGGTAATGATGAATTCTGAACATGCTGAGTTTAAGTTACTGACCGAACATGCAGGATTATTAGTGGATAAATAACTAAGACAAAAAAAGTTCAAAGAACCTTCTCATTAGAGAACCTCTAATACATGAATGATATGGCCCTGCCTTCAGACTCTTGCTCTAATGAAGAGATTTGCTGACTGAAATGAGGGATCCAAGGACCTTGTGTCTCCAACTCCTGTTCAAGAGTCTGAAACCAATCATAGCTTAAGACGATTTATGCTGTATCGGGATAAAAGACCTCAAAAAGTCCAAGAATGTTGTAGAACAAAGAGTTTAAGTGGCACAATTCTTTCTTCCATGAATGCTTCTAGACACTCTTCAGGCTTCCCACTGCCTTATTCCTCACTACCACCAGGAATCTCATTACTTTAAACTGACCTTGATTCTATCCTCAACACAGCAGCGACTAGGGACACTGGGGCCTTGCCTCTCCCTGATCTGTGATATCTGTCATGCCTAAGGTCCTGGAAAGACTCGTGATCTACACAAAAAGAACAACTTCTTACCTAGGGTGGTTTTTGTTTTGGGTTTCTTCTTCTTTGGACGACTAAGTGGAATATCATCTATAAAACAAAACAAAAAAAAAAAAACGATAGAACAGGCTGCCTAAAATTCAATGCAAAGAACAGTCAAAAGGAACTTTTAGTAGGGAAGACCTTTCCCTCTCTTCCCGAGGCCCAGCCAACTTCTACAAATTAGGGGGAAAAAGGCAAGATATTGACAAATTCAGGGGTGCCTGGCTGACTCAGTACAGCATGATCTTGATCTCAGGACCCAAAGTTCAAGCCCCATGTTGGGCACAGAGCCTACTCAAAAAAAAAAAATAAATAATAATAATAATAATAAATAAATAAATAAATAAATAAATAAATAAGATTAAATTAAGGAGGGGGGAGAAACTGACAAAGTCAAAGAAAGCCTATAGTGTGGTGATAGTAGCTCATTGTTGGTCAGTAATATTAGAAACTGCAACATTTCTAATATTAGAAAAGAGGGCCCACAAAATATACATGTGATCCCCTTTATTCCTTGCACTTAGATATGGCCTATGACTAGTTTGAACCATTCACTGTGAGCAGAACTGATCTGCCAAAACACTGAAAGAGCCGGTGAGTAACTCAGCTTTCTCTTTCTTTGCTTAAGCACGTTTAGATGGCAGAAGCACAGAATGGAAGTAGCCTGGATCATGACATAATTAGTAAAGAGTGGTACAAGACAACTGCCCTGGATTGTTGTCACACTGTACTTTGCATTAACCAGAAATAACCTTATAGAAGTCAGAGATTCTGAAGTTAGTACAGCATAACCCAGTCTATCCTGATTGAATAAAACAAAAGAAAATGTAGTCCTTATTATACAACTATAAACTAGCCAATAATTATGTTCTGGGTGACTCCACTCAAGAATGAGAGCTTTTAGGGATGCCTGGGTGGCCTTAGTGGTTGAGGGCCTGCCTTTGGCCCAGGACAGGATCAAGTACCACATGGGGCTCCCTGCATGGAACCTGCTTCTCTCTCTGCGTGTTTCTCATGAATAAATAAAAAAAATATTTTTAAAAAAAGAATGAGAGCTTTTATATTTGAAAGGTCAAATATCAATCATACAGCTAGTGTTATGTATCAACCCTCATTTTAAAGATAGCAGTCATAAGAGATTATTTTGAAAAAAGGATACTGCAGTATTATAAATTACACCACTCAGGTTCAACTTTAAGAAAAACATTAAGGAATCAAATTAACTTTTAAACTCCAAATTTTAAAAGTTTTACATTAAGAGTGAACTAACTCACCTTGATTAGCACTTTACATGACACCGACCAAATTTAATTAGGACAAAGACAAAAAAAAAAAAAAAAGAAACTATTAATTAGAAATATATCGTCAAGCTGAAAACTGACTTAAGTCATTATAAATTAAAAATAAGCTTTCATACAGTCAGCTAGTTCATAGACTAGCTTATTTTTATAAGTAAAAAAGCTAATAAATCCACCAATAACCCCAATATTTTCTGAACTTACATATACATATTTCCTACTGTCTATTAGTAAAGTGGATTAAGCAGATTAAGAATTCTTATTTTGTCACTGATTAAAATCAGCTTAAACTCTGAGGAAACTATTCTAGCAAACAAAAGAGGATCAAAAGTCTGATAAACAAGACGTTCAGAATGGACCAATGGACATTCAGAATGGACCACTATCTTACCAATGTTCGGCTTGGAAAGAGAACATTTAATTATAACTGTTATCCTAATGATTCAAGGATTTTTTTTTTCAATGATTTTTTTTTAACCTTTAAACTTTTAGGAAGACTTTTCCTAAAATTTTCAAGAGATCATCTCTGAATTATTATAATTTTGCAACGGAACTAGTTGACTTTTTCCTTTATTCATTTTGCATTTTTAAAACTCAATGATACAATCTCTAACTTATGTTTACCTTGGCACAGGTGGAAGGGCTCGTGGAGGACGCTATGGGGAGAAAAAGAAAATTGCTTGTAAGTAAAAGTCTCAGAACATCTTCATTTCATGTACTTCAAATCTTTTGATAACCTTGTTTATCGAATGCAACAGAGGAAGTACTCTTGAGAATCAGATGGGCAATTCTAAAATTGTTCTAACATTTCTAAATTTCATATAAAATTCCTTCCTTCCTATACTCCTTTCTATCCAGAGGCCAGGCTCTGCTCTAAGTACTACAGATGCACTAATGAACAAAACAGAAATCCCTGCTTTTATGGAACTTCCATTCTAGTGGTTAAGTATTAGAAGATCACACACACACACAAATGAGGGAGAATGTGGAGTGCTATTTTAGTTACAGAAAGTCTCTCAGACTTCCCAGCTGAAACCTGAATAAGAAAGAAGAAAAGAGACAAAGGTGAGCAAATACAAAGCCTTTTAGGAGAAACGGTTTCAGATAAAAGAAGCAAGCCCGGTAGGGCTGTAGCATAGTTATCAAGACAGGCAGGGGCCAGATTAATTAATTAGGCTCTTTTTAGACAAAAAGGGGGCAGTTCGGGTGGCTCAGGAGTTTAGCACCGCCTTCAGTCCAGGGCCTGATCCTGAAGGCCTGGGATCCAGTCCCACGTCAGGCCCCCTGCATTGAGCCTACTTCTCCCTTTGCTTGTGTCTCTGCCTCTCTCTCTGTGTCTCTCATGAATAAATAAAATCTTAAAAAAAATAAAAAAGACAAAAAGGTGTCCAGATTTTATTTTAATTCAGTGGGAAGCCAAAGGAGGTTTTAAACCACATAGCAACATACTTAAAAAAATAATAATAAAGTCACTCTGAATACAGTATGAGACTGCGTTTTGGGGCAGAGAGAATTTTAAAAAAAAACCTTATAAAAATAAATTCATCTTTAAAAATTTTATTTATTTGTGAGACACAGAGAGAGGCAGAGACACAGGCAGAGGGAGAAGCAGGCTCCACGCAGGGAGCCCGATGTGGGGCTCCATCCCCGGTCTCCAGGGTCACGCCCTGGGCTGAAGGCGGCGCTAAACCGCTGAGCCACCCGGGCGTCCCTAAAAAGTAAATTAAAAAAAAAAAAAAAAACAAAACCTTACAAATGATAAGAAAAGTTGTGTTTGCCATTCAGAGAGATTACAGTTGAGACGCATTCTGGAATCTTTCAAAATAAAATACTATCAGCAATGTCTCGAAATCAGTTTAATGTTGCAAGTGTCTCAAGCTGCTTGCAGAGGACACTGATTCAAAAGGGTCACATTTTTAGACACTTTTTTTTTTAGTTCGTTCTACGACCGTCCCATTTAGCGATCCATTCGGTCAGCGTATTAATGCAAATGCTACGAGATCAGGACACAGCAGGCTGTCTCAACACTATCCAGTGATGAACCTCACCACCGGGAAACAGCAATAGTCCTAAGACAGAGCCACCCTCAGGCGGCTACGGATCGCGTCCTGCCCAAGGCTTCGGGTCACATGACGCCTCCACGTTTTCAAAACTCCCGCGAAAATGACGTGTCACCGCCGACCTTCCGGCCCCTCAAGAGTCGGAAGGCTCCACCGGACACAAAATCCCAGAGACTCAAACGGAACCGAGGCTGACTTACCACCTGCTTCTTTCCCATTGCGTCCAACGCCGGGCTTCCCCGCGGCCGCGCGCCGGGAGCTCGCAGCCGGGAGCTCGCAGCCCGCTCCCCGCCCTCCGGCCCCCCGGCTGGCTCCCGCCCCGCCCCCCCGGCTGGCTGGCTATTGTCCCCCGCTGGCTCCCGCCCGGGCCGCCCCGCGCAGGCGCCGTGCGTCATCGGCCTGCGCCGCCCGGGCCCGGCGGGCACTCAGCTGTTCGCTGCAGGACGCGGGCGGGGGCTGGCGCCGCGGGCGGGTCGGGCCTTTGCAGTGCAGCCCTGCGGAAAAGAGGCCGTGGGACTGGGGGGCTCACATGCCCGGGAAGAGAGACTCCAGCGGGCGTGGGGCAACCACCACGGTTCTGCTCATGGTTTCCGAGTGGTTGCAGGGATTTGTTCGAGGGCGGTGGGGAAAGACCATGATTAATAGTCTCCGCTAGGAAACTGCGGTCTCCTCCCTGGGTGGCTAAAGGCCCTCCGGGAGGAGTCCGCAGGAGAGGCCTAGCTGGCCGCCCCGGGGCACCCAGGGGCCCGGGAAGGCTAAGCAGAGAGGCGTCGTCACAGCAACGTGGCCCCTCAGGCCCGAGCATCGGCACGCCCGGGCCCTCGCCCGGCTCCCGGGGTTCGGCTCCCGGTCTCAGGACGAACTCCCATCCCCGCTCCGGTCCAATCCTGTGAGCATCCGAGGGGCGGACGCGCGTACACGGCGAGCGGGGCTCTCGGCGGCCCTCAGCCCTAGGCGGCGGCCCCGCCCCAGGAGCCGCGGAGGCGATCGGGCTGCACCCCCCGCCTCCGCCACGCCCCGTGGCCGCAGCGCCCCTCACCGCTCACCGGGTGGGCCTCCGGCCGAAGCCCCGAGTCCGCCCTCATGGCGCTCCCCCTCGGGGCTCCCTCAGCGCAACCGCCGGGGACCCGCGCCCGGCTCCCCGCGACCCGGCCTCCGGGGCCTGCGGTGGGGACGCTTCCCGGGATCTCGCTGGGCCGCAGCTCCGGGGCCGGACCTCTGCCTTCCTTCGGGGCGCCAAGCCCCGCCTCGCAGCGCGGCCACGTCAGGGGGCGGGGCGGAACCCGGAGGGGGCGGGGCTGGCCCCGGAGGGGGCGGGGCTGGCCCCAGAGGGGGCGGGGCGCGGGGAATCCGGAGGGGCCCGAGGGCGGTGCGCGAGACGGACCCCGCGGAGGTCAAAACAGGCTCTGGGTACCGGGAACCGACGATTGGCAAGGCCAAGGCTGCCCGGAGGAGCCGGGAACTGCTAGTCGCTGAACCAGGAGAGGTCTGGAAGGGCCAAAGACTGATTAAAACTCTTTTGAAAAGGAGGACTTGGGAGGGGCAAGATGGCGGAAGAGCAGGGTCTCCAAATCACCTGTCCCCACCAAATTACCTAGATAACCTTCAAACCATCCTGAAAATCTACGAATTCAGCCTGAGATGAAAGAGAGACCAGCTGGAATGCTACAGTGAGAAGAGTTCGCGCTTCTATCAAGGTAGGAAGACGGGGAAAAAGAAATAAAGGAACAAAAGGCCTCCGAGGGGGAGGGGCCCCGCGAGGAGCCGGGCTAGGGCCGGGGCGAGTGTCCCCAGGACAGGAGAGCCCCGTCCCGGAGAAGCAGGAGCTGCACCAACCTTCCCGGAAGGGCGGAAAGGGGCTCGCAGGGAGTTGGAGCAGGACCCAGGAGGGCGGGGATGCCCTCGGGCTCCCGGGGACACTAACAGACACCTGCGAGCGCAGGAGAGTGCTCCGAGCTCCCTAAGGGCTGCAGCGCGCACGGCGGGGACCGACCGGAGCAGCTCGGAGGGGCTCGGGCGGCGGCTCCGCGGAGGGGGTTGCGGGGCGGGAGCGCGAATCCAACAGCGCAGGCCCCGGAGCACAGGGCGCCGGGACACAGCCCAGGATCCGGCCTCCCCCGGGACAGGCAGAGGCCGGGAGGGCCCGGGACAGCAAGGACGCTCCTGCCCGGAGCTGAGCAGATCAGCGGCCCCGCCCCGGAGCCTCCAGGCCCTGCGGACGGAGAGCCGAGAGCCGAGAGCCCCGAGCCCCGTAGTTCCTGCGGAGGCTCAATCCAGGCTTCCAGAGTTGCCATAGCAACTGCGGCTGTTCCTCCTGGGGCCCCACGGGGTAAACAACCCCCGCTGAGCCCTGCAGCAGGCAGGGGCAGAGCAGCTCCCCCAAGTGCTAACACCTGAAAATCAGCACAGCAGGCCCCTCCCCCAGAAGACCAGCTGGACGGACCAGTGATACTCCCCCGTGTTCCAATACAACTTGTTTTTGGCCACTCTGCACTGAGCAAAATGACTAGAAGGAAAACCTCACCTCAAAAGAAAGAATCAGAAACAGTCCTCTCTCCCACAGAGTTACAAAATCTGGATTACACTTCAATGTCAGAAAGCCAATTCAGAAGCACTATTCTACAGCTACTGGTGGCTCTAGAAAAAAGCATTAAGGACTCACGAGACTTCATGACTGCAGAATTTAGATCCAATCAGGCAGAAATTAAAAATCAATTGAATGAGATGCAATCCAAACTAGAAGTCCTAACGACGAGGGTTAACGAGGTGGAAGAACGAGTGAGTGACATAGAAGACAAGTTAATGGCAAAGAGGGAAACTGAGGAAAAAAGAGATAAACAATTAAAGAACCATGAAGACAGATTAAGGGAAATAAATGACAACCTAAGGAAGAAAAACCTACGCTTAATTGGGGTTCCCGAGGGCGGCGAAAGGGACAAGATTCCATCAAAATCCCAGAGGAGAACTCAGGCAACACCCTTTTTGAACTTGGCCACAGTAACCGGAGAAGGACAAACAGTGTATGTTCTCATTCATTTGGGGAATATGAATAATAGTGAAAGGGAATATAAGGGAAGGGAGAAGAAATGTGTGAGAAATATCAGAAAGGGAGACAGAACATAAAGACTTCTAACTCTGGGAAATGAACTAGGGGTGGTGGAGGGGGAGGAGGGCGGGGGGTGGGGGTGAATGGGTGACGGGCACTGAGGGGTACACTTGATGGGATGAGCACTGGGTGTTATTCTGTATGTTGGTAAATTGAACACCAATAAAAATTAATTTATAAAATTAAAAAAAAAAAAAAAAAGAAAAGGAGGACTTTGGGGATTCCTGGGTGGCTCAGCGGTTTAGCGCCACCTTCAGCCCAGGGCGTGATCCTGGAGATCCGGGATCGAGTCCCACGTCGGGCTCCCTGCATGGAGCCTGCTTCTCCCTCTGCCTGTGTCTCTGCCTCTCTCTCTCTCTCTCTCTGTGTCTCTCATGAACAAATAAATAAAATATATATAAAAAAAAAGGAGGACTTCTGTGGAACGCTGTCAGATTCTCCAGACACGGCTTCTTCCGACGAATCTCTGAACAAACTAGAGACCCCTGTACTGCAGGAACGTAGTAAGCACCCAGAGCTGACCCCTACCAGGCACTTACCGACTTGGTATTTGGTTCTTTAACTTCTTACTCTTGTATCTTGTTTATTGCGTGACTTTGGTTTCTTGTGTGGCGTATGGGAAGCCAAGTTAACTGTCATTCAGTTTGGAATCCTACACCCGTTAAAATTGTGTAAACCCCGCTTTAGGCATGAATAGAGCTGACGGTGTGCGGAGGCCCATCCCTGTGCACCGCCTTTGTAGGGCGCCAGAGATGCCCCCGCCCCCGCGCCCACCCCCACCCCCACCCCCGGGCCCAGACAAATATCAGATTTCTTCTAGTTGTGTGTGTGTGTCTGTGTAGTGATACAGGCAGTTCTCAAAATGTTTCCCACTTGCTTATCCTCCATCTCTGTACAGCAAGTTTGGGGAATTTTTTTTTCTCAAAAAGAAAAAACACAACATAAGATCAAATCCAAGTTCATGTACCATTAAAAATGACTTAATTTTCTTTGGTGGGGTTTTTTTGGGGGGAGAGGGAGGTTGGGTTTAATTTTTTTCTTTTTTTTTGTTTTTTTTTTTTTTGTTTTAAAGATAATCACTAAGTTAAAAAGAGCTACAAATACTTTGATGTATATACTTGGTTTTATATGTAAGAAAGAGATTGGGGGAGTAGACGGATGGTGTGGGGATGGGGAACATTAGAGAATAATGCAGAAGAGAGACATACAGGGGCAGCACGGCTGACTGGAAGTCTTAAGACTTAGGGAAGAAAGAAAAATAAGACTTCCTGGAATAGCATCCTCATCTTATGGTTTTCTCATCTATGGGTCTCTAGGACTAAAGTCAATTGCCCTTTCCGAATTTAAACATGATGTAGATATTGGCTTTTAGGCAAATTAATTGTTACAGCTCTGATCTAAAGAATATTTTTTTCCTTGTAGATTGATGTATAAATGATGAGGGCAGTACCATTTCTGTAAACTTTCATGTTAAATGTGAAACATGTACATTAACCCCTTTTTTCTTGCTGAGTCAGTGAAAAAGTACTGACTTTTTCACTTTTTGTAAAAGCTGGTTTCATAAAACAGAAGTTTCTTGAGGTTAAATACAGTTTCTGAAATGAAATACTACTTATTTTATTTAGGGAAGCTCTTTTATCTGAACTGTAAAAGACCATAAGAAATCTCAGAAAGGTTCTCCTACTCAGTGGCTTGACATTGTTTGTATTCTTATATGACATAAAGGAAAACATTAAAAACAAAACATTTTTTTCCTTCAAAGCCAAGGAGGTAACTCTACATACATATGATGCAATTTTTTTTCAAATTAGATTAATTAATAAACTATACCACATTTAAAGTTGCATACATTAAAATGGGGCAAATACTGCTGTTTTTTATTGCAGCTGTTATTCCAGAGCTCTGTAATAGTTGAATATTCTTAAAGCTCCAGCATTAAGCTGGTGACCTCCTTAAGACTCAGTATCAGGGGGAACCCATGTTGCTGGTACCCATTGAGGCTCCTCCTGAGCCTTCTGAACTGCAGACAGCAACTGGGCACATGCATCTTGCAAGTTGTCATTCACAATCACATGATCAAAAAACTGGCCAAACTGTGTCTCCATTTTTTGAGCTAAATCCTCCATTTCTTGTAGATCTTCATCCTTTAGGAGAAATAGAAAAATATGGATAGCACAGACTTAATGAGATAAACAGAAATCATATGCAGTTTGTTTTGCTGTTACATACATTATAAATTTTATATAAAAGCGCTCATGTCAGATAAATTCTATTCTATTCTAAACCACACAATGTATGTTTTTATCTTTGATCTTAATGTTTCCCTGGTCAAGGTTTTGCAGAACTAAGTAATGGTAGCCTAAACAATCCCCTCAACTTCCCATATGGCCTTAAATTATCTTACTCTAAAATCTAAGCACTTGAAGCCTTCAACTGTGTGTAACCAAACAAAACAAAAAAGAAAGAGAAAGAAAAAAGAAAGAAAACAAAATTTACAGTTAAATATAAATAAAACATATGTAAATTTCAAATGAAATTTTATAAGGTAAAACACTGTTCTTGAAATTAAATACTGATAAGAATGACGTTATTTTGCCACTTCTAACATGAGGATGGTATGACCTGGCTAAGGTGGATTTAATTTTTAAAACTGGAAAAAAATAATGCGTACTCTAGGAAAAGTTCACTAATTAATTCCACCTGTCTCAGCCCCTCTATAATTTCCATCATCAATACACAATGTTTGCATTTAGAGATGTATTTTTATAGAAAATTCATATTACAGATAAGATATATTCACCACATTTTTAAAGTAAGCTCTCAAACTTTTCCTTTTTCTTTTCTTTTTTTTAAAGATTTTATTTATTTATTCATGACAGACACAGAGAGAGAGAGGCAGAGACACAGGCAGAGGGAGAAGTAGGCTCCATGCAGGGAGCCCGATGTGGGACTCGATCCCGGGTCTCCAGGATCAGGCCCTGGGCTGAAGGCGGCGCTAAACCACTGAGCCACCAGGGCTGCCCTCAAACTTGTTCATATGATAAATAATAAAATGTAAATGTCAGTTTTAGGCACAACCAATTTTTTTGTGTGGCTTTGCAAACTTGGCTTGAGTTCTTTTTTTCTTTTTGTTTTCTTT